CTGGCTCCAAGGCAGAGCGGCACATGGCAGAGGGCAAACTTCCATGGCAGAGGCAAAGAGCGAGAGGAGCCAAGGAAGGAGTAGCAGCAACAATGACTACAGAGAGGAAGTCTGTCTCCCTAAATTGGATTCAGGCTCTTGCGCCAGGGGGGGGGGGGGGGGGTAGTACTCACACCCACAATCCCAGCAGTACTAAAACCCATAATCCCAGTGGATCATGAGTTAATTTCACTCTAGAAATCCCAGCCCCATGACTGCCTGAGGCTTGGGGAAGACAACTAGACACAAATGGTAACACCCAATGCTCTGAATACACAGAAATGATAGAATAATTATAAAAAAAGAACTAGACTGATAAGCAATGCTGAAGAACAAAACACAGTCTTTGTGAACCTTCAGATGCGTAGAATGTGAAGTGGTGGGGGAGGGCTAAATTGTAGGAGGTGGAGTCAGGTGCAAACAAGGCTCCTCATACAACAGTCTGGACTCTAACTTCGCCTAAGGGCAGAGAAAATCAAGGACAATGAGACTGGGCAGTAATTCCAGGGGCCAAACCCTGTCTGGGGCTATCACATTTGGGAATCTGCAGGCCCAAGGGCCCTGAAGGACAAAGAATCCATCAAGTCCTGTACAGCTCTGTGACAGATCCAGATTCTAATGGTATCCTCCAGGAGAGACCACCACTCTGTGCCGGTGCTTCGGGGGCAGACAGAAGAGAACACCACCACTACACAGATGAATCAGAGGGCCTCAGGGGTGACAGATAAGCTCCCAGTTGAAATTCCTCCTCGATCTAGTTCTAAGTCACATAAATAAAATATAATACCAGGAAAGAAAGCCAACAAAATCACGTAACTTGTATGAATTTACCCCTAATGAAAATGTTGTAGGCAGCTAAGATAGAAATATTATAGGTAGTCAGATAAGACTGAGCTGTCTAAGGAGCCAGGATGGAAGATGAGAGAGCTTGCAGCTGTGGGAGACACAGGTACTTCCACTGTGGGTCAGACCTCAGACACAAGATGAAGCAAATGCACCCACATACCTCCCTAGGGATGAGCATCAGTGATTGATGGTCTACATAGGTATCAATCACCTTGTAAAAGCCAGGTAGAGTCACTGACCCAAGCCCCTACAGGAAAAGTCCCTGCTTGCTATGTGATTCACTTCCCCATCTGATCCCAATTTAATCAATCTTACCTGAGGAATTATATTTGCAATCTTATTGGCTGACCATAGTTTTGTCCTACCTCATGCCTACCTTGTGAGTTCCATGTTTACCAGCTTGTGGATTTGCTCTATAAAAATCCCTAGAAAAGGAAGTTCCTTGGCAACTCATTCTGATCCCCTTCTGTCTCTTAGATAGGTTTCTTTTCTCCAATAAATATATTCTGCT